GGAACAAAGAAACTGTGAACAACACACAAAAAAAGACATCCAAATGACAGCACTAAACTCATACCTATCAATAATTATACCAAATGTAAATGGACTAAATGCACCAATAAAGAGACAGAGAGTGGCAGATTGGATTAAAAAAAAAACACGATCCATCTATATGCTGCCTACAACAGACACACCTTAGACTTAAAGACACAAACAAACTAAAACTCAAAGGATGGAGAAAAATATATCAAGCAAACAACACTCAAAAAAGAGCAGGAATGGCAAAATTAATCTCTGACAAAACAGACTTTCAAGTAAAATCCACCACAAAGGATAAGGAAGGACACTATATAATGATTAAAGAGTCAATACACCAGGAGGACGTAACTATAATAAATATTTACATACCCAATGACAGGGCTCCAAAATACATAAAACAAACTCTAACAGCACTGAAAAGAGAGAGAGACGCTCCAAAATAGTAGTAGGAGACTTCAACACACCACTTTCAGTGAAGGACAGAATATCCAGAAATAAGCTCAGCAAAGACACAGAAGAGCTAAATGCTATAATCAACCAACTTGATCTCATAGACATATACCCAACACTCCACCCAACAGCAGCCAAGTATACTTTCTTTTCCAACGCACATGGAACATTCCCCAGAATAGACCACATATTCGGCCATAAAGCAAGCCTTAACAAAATCCAAAGTCTCGAAATATTACAAAGCATCTTTTCTGACTATAAAGCCATAAAAGTAGAAATAAACAACAGAAAAAGCAAGGAAAAAAAATCAAACACATGGAGAAGGGGAACCACTGGGAGAAAAACTACCATGGCTGGACCCCAAGGAAAGCGTTTGCCTGAACTGTGCCTGTCATTCTCGAGCTCCTGAGAGGAACTGGAAATGGGACTCCATGAGGGCTGGGGCCTCGTCTGTCTGTTCACCTGTGGCCTGGCACACAGTAGGTGCTCAATAAATGCATCCTGAATAAACTCACTGTGGGTGCCTCATTTAGGGCCCCAAATGCTAGACTGACAGGCAAATGATTAATATTGTTATTGTTGCTGTTGGGTGCCAGGTGACTCATAGTGACCTCAGCGGACAGAGCAGAACTGCCCCAGAGGCTTTCCAAGGCTGTCGTCTTTACGGAAGCAGACTGCCACATCTTTCTCCCGCAGAGCGGCTGGTGGTTTGAACCACCAACCTTTTCAGTTAGCAGCTGAGCACTTAAGCACTGTGCCACCGGCACTCCTTTGCTTAATATTAACAAACCCAAACCCGCTGTGGTAGAGTCGATTCTGACTCCTAGCAACCCTACAGGACAGAGCAGAACTGCGCCATAGAGTTTCCAAGGCTGTGATCTTTACGGGAGCAGATGCCATGTCTGTCTCCTGCGGGGCTCCCTCACTTAACCTGAGGCACCATTGTTATGTGTTACAGCAAATGCCCAGCAGAGGTCAGAGCGCAGCCTTTGGGGCTGAGTCAGTAATTTCATCACCAAAACATTTAAGGTGACAAAGGAAAGAAGGAGCCAACATTTGCTGGGGTCACTTGTCTCTGCCAAGCGCTACGCCTGGGGCTTCACATTTTCCCTCGGAATCGCCACGTCTCCCCTTCAGGTAGGTGTTATCACAGTCATAGTAATGCCTCCCGCTCACCTCAGACAAAGTTTGCCCAACAAAACTCTAATGACAAAAGATTTCTCTTTTGCCTTCCTCTCTCTCATTCTAAAGGTTACCTCATCTCACGCAAACCTGCCACTGTATGAGAAAGCTCCCATTCAAAACTCAGGCAAATCGGAGGATTCACAAAAGCTCTCCATGAATAGATTGGGGATTCCCCAAGGTATTTAAAGCTGAGACCTGGCAGGACCATCTCTGATGCACACAGTGAGGTGCTCTGTACCACTCAACAGACATCTCCTTTGTTAAAGGACCCTGGTGGTACAACAGCTAAAGCGCTCAGCTGCTAACCAAATGGTCAACGGTTTCAGCCCACCAGCTGTCCTGTGGGGGGCAAAGACCTGGCGATCTGCTCCCATAAAGATTACAGCCTAGGAAACCCTACTGAGTAGTTCTACTCTGTCCTACAGGGTCGTTAAGAGTCAGGATGACTCCATGACACACAACAACATGGATTCTTTCCAATCTCCTTAATACGTCTAAGTGGTGGGAACTTAATATCCTAAAGACTTCTATCTTCTAGAAAATGGCTCAGTGTGGTCTGGGTAGCAGATCTCCAGAAACTTTTTATCAGCCTATATAGGTCACCTCTACAAAAGACAAAGAAGCCTATTTTTCCTCTTGGCCAATACCTGGGAGTTTTCTTGCAAAACGTGCTGAGAAACTCAGACAGGGAAGAGAATATCATCCCCAAAAGCCAGGTCCTTTGCTACTCACAACAAGCTCTGGCCCCAAAACTTTCTGCAGGAAGCCAGCAGTAGCCATCCTCAGCCAGAAGCACATCGTTCAAACTAGTCACCTCACATCGGCTTGATGTCATTTTTAGAAGGGTCAGTTAGAAGCTTCTAGGAGCAGCTTCGTAATGCTCTTGGTAGTTCCTGGGTGCTGCCTTAATAAATGTGGTTTCATCAACTCACAAATCAACCTCAGCCAATGACTCTCCCTTCAAACAGCTGCTGGGACCCTTCCAAGCACAGCAGACAAGGTCTGGGTGGCAGAACCAGCTCCTTGGACATTCGGAACATCTGGTTCATTTAAGAAGTGAAAGGAGATACTGGTACCCCAATGTGTTTCTATTGGGCTTGCAAAATGGTCAGGGGAGAGATCTTAGTCCAAAAAGGAAAGAAGAAAGATAGTCTTATCGGTCTACTCCACAGAATTATAGACTATTTTTTATAAATACTCCCCAAGATAAATTATTTTTACATTTTTCAAACAAAACTGATAGTATCTGATTTAATTCACCAGGGAGAAACAAAGGCCAGCCACAGAAAAATATTCAGGTAATTAAATGCATTACAGAACAGAACAAAGCACAAATAGTTCTCAGGAAATCGGAAGCTCGATAGCGTGTTTCATTCAAGCACCTAGGTACTTCATCAGACTTGCTCTGTGACATCACCACCATTATGGCTGGGCTCCATAAAGAGACGGCTCTGGCAGGACAAGGCCTGGGGCCACAGTGTTGGTTTTGTTCAGCTGAGCACTACCAGGGCAAGCTGAGATCTGAGGCACCCGGTGGGAGGCTTTGCAGCAAAGAGAGCAAGCTTGAGCCGGAGGGCCGCTAGTGGCCTTGAACCCATTCCTTTCCTTCTGAAATCTACGTTTGGAAATCTAGACCCTTAGCCCTCCCAAACGACACCGCTTCTTTGCACTCACACTGGTTTCTCTGGAGAAGGCTGGCACTACCTAGCCCTGAGATGCCTGGGTCAAGGCAGGAAGAGAAGGAGTCCCAATACTCCTTGCTGGCGGGAAGGAGGAGGGAGGCACGTGACTTCACCTCCACTACTAACCTGCTGTAGAGGGCGGAGTCGGTGAGGACGGGGATGTGAGAGGTGAGCTGGCCCCAGATCCTGCTAAGGAAAAACACAGAGAAACCCTCATGGGGACTAAAGAAAGACATTTGAAATTCAGTCTGAGCTGGGATCCACCATCATCAGAATCTGCACTTGGCTTAGTGTGTGGACTTGTGGTAAAAGGTGATTTAAAACAAACAGTTGTCGTCAAGTCGACTCCAACTCCTGATGCCCCAATATGTGTCAGAGTAGAACTGTGCTCCACAGTTATCAACAGCTGATCTTTTGGAAGTAGACTGCCAGGCACCTCTGGGTGGACTTGAACCTCCAACCTTTTGGTGAGCAACCAAGTGTGTTAGCCATTTGCACCACCCAGGGGCTCCGTGGGGTCTCCATGAGTCAGAACTGACTCCACGGCAATTGGTAAAAGGTAACAGGGGAGAGAAACTTCAGAGACTGACCAGATGACCACAGGCCTCCCCCCAGTGCAGGGTACACTTCCTCCGCAGGCCACTAAAGCCTCATCGCCTCTGCGGCTCCCCACAGCCTGCCCCGTTTGAAATCAATTTTGCTCAACCAACAGCTTAGGAAAATGACTGCAGTGTCTTTTTCTGGCCCCAAGCTCCTCCCTGGTAAAGACAAATGAATCTCAGTGGCCACAGACACAGAGAGGTACAGAGCAGCTCAATAGGGACCTCCCCAAAGGAAGTGGGGTTTCCCTCAGCATCCACCCAGCAGTGTGCGCGGGAGGAATTCCAGTCTATCAGCTGGTGCACTCAATGAGATAAGGAGCCCTGGTGGCGCAGGGGTTAGGTGCTCAGCTGCTAACCAAAAGGTCGGTGGTTCGAATCCACCAGCTGCCCCTGGAAGAAAGATGTGGCAGTCTGCTTCTGTAAAGATTACAGCCTTGGAAACCCTATGGGACAGTTCTACTCTGTCCTGTAGGGTCGCTATGAGTTGGAATCGAATCAACTCGACAGCAACAGTTTTTGGTTTGGACTGACATTCAATGAGATAGGGTCAGCCTGTTCAGTTTGTGAACTTCCCAGGTCCCTTCTTACCTGAAATTCAGTTAAGTACCTTTATTTACATTAAGGCAATGAGCATATTCCCATGTTACATACTTTCTCTGGACCTAGTAAATTTGCTATATTTCAAATATTTCCAAGTTCTCAGCATCTCCCCATTGCGTGGAAATCCCTAGAAAATATCCTCCTGGCCTGACTTCGAAGTAGTCCCAGTGGGCAGATGGAGGCTCCTCCATAAGCCCCCTCTCACACACCGAGGTCCTATCAAAGGCTTAACCAAAGCTTCACAATCTGAAGCTTCCTGGGTTGATGGGCACATAACTCTAAGGGAGGGCTGCTGTCCACAGCCCTGAGAAGTCAAACTAGCTGTTCTGGTTAAGTCAAGCCTCCCAACCACCACTTTACTCACTACCCACAACACATGCTGATAGCTCAGGGACACTGGGCATGATAAGAAATGCCCTAATTAGTCACACCTCCCCCCAGTTTAATACTTGTCCACTATTTGCAATATACCCTCAGCTCCCTATAACATATGAGGGGTTTTTTACAGAAAAAGGAAATAAAATTCAGCCCAGGCTGCTTTCATGTTGCTTTGCAGCCCAGTGCAGATATTAACGCAGAGAAGACTGAACTGAGACAGGGCTTGAGGATGATCTGTACATCCCACCCACAACTGCTGCCTCTTGAGGGCCCTTGGGGTCCCATCTGGTGGCCTCAGTACAGAGCCCTGCCTGTGGGCAGGCCCTCAGGAAGGTGCAGCACACAGTCAGGCTTCCTCTGCTTTATGAACAGCCCGACTCCTAGTCAGACATGCTGGTGGGAGACACAACCTCAGCCTAATGAAGACCATGACTGGTCCACACCCATCCCATGGACCACGGGGAAGACAGACCTCAGACTCTGAAATAACCCACAGGCCACAACAGTCTCCTGTCCCTCCTCCTCTCCCCACCTCGATCCTCAAGGATCCTGCCTTTGTCCTCATGGGGACCTCCAGGGCCTGGGGTCTCCCTTCCTTCTCTTCCCTTCTATCTCCCTCTGACCCCTCTCTGGCCTAGACTCTGCAAGCAGTGATGTCAACATGATTCCTCCGGAGTCTGTGATCTTCCTCCATCCCAACCCTCCCGATTTCCAGCTCTGCCCACCACTACCTGCCACAAGTAGTCCAGCCCTCGGGGCTGTAGCCCTGTCCTTTTGTGCACCCCTCACAGTTTCTCCTCACACGCCTAGAAGACTCCTCACCCACTGACAAGACTGTGGTATGAGCTGTGAACACCCCCAATCTCCTTCCTCCCACTTTTAAACACCTCTGCCTCATCGCCCTGTCCTCCAAGAGGAGATGGGTGGGCTCCTTCCAAGGCTGAGACGGAGCTGGACTCTTGATGCTAACCCTTCCCGGAGACCTAGCCCCCAGGTCGCTCTCTTTTTTGCATCTTCAGCTTCTTCCCTCTGCTAGGTAATTCCCCTGCTCAGAAGAATACTCAACTATCCCTCAACCTAAAAAACCTCCCTTCCCTTGGCCTCCAGGGCTGAACCAAGGTGGTCTGGGTTAGGAGGAGACCCCCCTGCTCTATGTGGAACTCCCCTTCAGATTCATAAGCCAGAAGAACTGAAAAGCCCCAAGGGATCTAGCCCTGATTTCCAAAAATGGGAACACTGAGACCCAAGGCCAGTGGGGCTAGGCGACGAGCAGCCAGGAGTGACAGCAAAGGCTGCTGACTGCAGGATAGTGCTCTCTGTACCATCTTGGGCCTTCTGGAATGATATTTCTCACCATCCCACGCATGTTGCTCCACCATGTGGGGACCAAAACAGAGGGCAGGATTTGAGGTCATTTCCATTCATGCAGGCTCTACTGAAAACCAGGAGGCCTTGCATTTTTAGTCCATTTCATCTTCCACAGCTGATGTTCCTGCATCTTTGGTTGATCAAGTCCTGACGTCAGTAAAGAGTCTCGACTACCCAACAGTCTCTAAGGTCCCTTCCAGCCCTTGAGTTCTGTGAGCCTTTGAATGCTGTTCCAGTGCTCATTAGGACCGGAGCTCTCTTGTTCTCTACACTCACTACCGCCCTGGCCACTAGAATCCAACCTGTTGACTAAGACTCCTGATTCTGACCTCTGGTGCCTGGCCCCACCACAATCCATAGCCAGTTACCTGAATTATTGGAATTGCTGTATTTTGCTGAATGTTCTTCACTGTTCTCAATAGCAGATCGTTTTGACTTCTTTAAAAATAGAAGAAGGGGGAGGAAAAGCAATGAATAAACATGGTGAGGCTGGAAGCTAGAAGAAAAGTATTTTCCAGGCACACAGTTAAACTAGTTACAGACAAGGTCGTATTTGGCCTCATAACTTAATACAGCAAAGAAGCCACAAGCCAAAACTAAAGGGGGAAATAAAACCAAGAATGCTGAATTTACTATCTCAGGCCAATCATTTCCCCCAGTTACAGCATGCCACAATTGGCCCAGTGAGCCAGGAAACTATATGGTCCATTTCTCTGCTGATATTATGTGGCTCTTTTCTAAAAGCTTCAAACCAGTCATCTGGAAATAATTTTAGCTTTCAAGGAGATACAGCGTAAAATCTACCATTAACTAAATGTGTACCATTAACCTAGAACTTTCTTCACATGTAGTCAAGAATTCACAGAGGGAATTCAGAGAGACACTGGGCTTACCTTTCGAGCTAAAATTTTCCTCTTTTTCCTTTCTTCCTCAGAGCCATGGTGTGACTGTGCCCTCGTCAGTCTTCGGTGCTGGTGAATCTTTAAGAGACCACAACCCACCACAAATGTAAGCGTGTACTACATAAGGTAGATTGCTAAGGAAAATCTTCTCCAACATGTTCTGTCAAATCATATTATTTAGATAAAAACTCTTTCCTTGCCCAGCCTGTCAGCCCTCTGGCTGGGGTCTGGATGTCCGTGAGAAGAGTGTGCTGGAGGATGCAGACCTTTCTGTCTTTCACAGAAGACAAGTGTGGGCCCAGGCACCATTAGAGCATGGCTCATGTGGGTATGTGAGTCCTCCACCACCACTTCGTGGTGTGGCCCTGACCATGCAGGATGACCGTCCTTGGTGGACATGCTTGTTGCCCCTACTGGACAGAGCCCCTGGAGGGCAGGACCGTGTGAGGTATTCAGCTCTGTGTCCCAGCATCTAGCCTGGACCTGCTTTACAGCAAGCACAAAGGAAACTCTTACGGGATGAACAGTCAGTCAAAAGCCAACCGCTGTGAACACCACAGCAGAATCTGCCACGGATGGGGGCACTGAGGAACAGAATTACCAATTTACCTGTTTCTGTTCTTCAATTAGTCTCTTTTCTATACATTCTTTGGCAATTCTCAATGCCTCTTTTAACTTTGTGGGGATCTGAAAGAAAGAGAAAGTACATCTCCATTGAGTAAAATGGCCAGGGTCTCTTGGGGCCTGGTTTCAAAGGAGGAGGCCATCCGGAATAAAGGCAGCTGCAAGCTGTCCACACAAATCCTACCCCAATGCTTTCGGAATCCCCAACACACTCACCTCTTCAGCATTTTTAACAGTGAATACATAACATTAAAGCATAAAGAAACATGATTTATAAAAATTCAAGTAATTATAACATTTTATAACTTCAAATATTCACAGCGATTTTCTCTGTGAAAAATTTACTTCCTGAATTTCACAAGATTAAGTTGCTTCTGTTACGAGAACTCCTCCCAGTCGCCTGGTCTGCTTCTGAGCTTGTTAAAAACCAGGTGCCCAGGCCTGGAAAAAAGATACTCAGAGCGTGCTGAGCTTTTGGGCCTGATTATTCTTCACAACATTTAAATTTAAAAATGTTCTGAATAGATAAAACCTGGTTCCAAAGTCGAAAGGTATAAAAGGGCACCCAGTGAAAAGTCTCTCACCTGGCTGCCCTCCATGGTGGATCTTCCCAGCAGGCCAATGCATGTGTACGGAACTAACACTGGTTTTTAAAATCCTATTGACGCAGGCTAGGGGAAGAGCTAGCTCTTACCATAATCCCTAAATCCTGGGGCTGGGGGTTGGAGAGAGCGTGTTTATTTACAAGGCTGAGTGCGTTTCCTGAGGCGTTTCAGTGAAGAAGGGATAAATTTAAATGTTTTTTCTTCCTTATTTCAGATCCAAAGAAGCTATTGCTGTCGAAACTCCTCTAACAGGCAAAATAGGACAGAGGGAAGTTTCTGCTCACTTACACAATCTTCTAACCCCACCTTGCTTTTGTTTTCTCAAGTTACTTCCATCATAACAGTTTCTGGGATATGGAGAGGAGAAAGAGAGTTACCCCTCACCCTCCCCCCAAAACGACACTGACAGCGTGCCCAGATTCTCGCATTGTTGCTCAGTGACGACGGTGGGCTTTAGAGCAGGTTTTACGTCCAATTTTACAGACCAAGAAACAGAGACTCAGAGACTAGTTTCTCAGCTGGGGCGATGTTGCCCCCCAGGGACCACCTGGCACTGTCCAGGGAGAGGCATTTTTGGTCGTCACGACTGGAGGCGGGTGGAGACTGGTACTGGCATTGAGCGGGAAGAGGCCAGGGATGCTGCTAAATACCCTACAGTACACAGGGCAACCGCTCACTGCAAAGAATTATCTGGCCCAAAATGTCAAATGCTGGGGTTGAGAAATCCTGCCATAGATAAACAGCTGGTGTTATAAGGGCAGAGTTAGGCATCGACCTGGTGTTTTGGGTTCCAAGCCCATACTCTTTCCACAGCACCACACAACACTACTGCTTCCCACAACATTTCCTTTCAGTCTTTTTTCTAGACACAGACATATTTTTTACACACTGTATTCTCATTCTTTTTCATTCCTCAGCCAATATCATCATCATTTTCCATGCTATGACAGTGTCTTCATGAATTTTATTTTTAACAAATAAAAATATTTTATCAAATAGATGTACCATAGACTATTAAACTATTCTGTAATTGTAGATTAGACTGTTTCTAACTTTTCCGTATTATAAATACTGTATCTTCTCTTTTTTGGTTAAAAAAAAAAAAAAAAAAGCTGAGTTTCAAAGTTAACTTATTTATATCACAAACCAAAAAAATGACATGATTTGCTTTACCTTGAACTGTGGCTTTTCAGAAGTGGTTAGTGAAACATCACTGAATAATCTGTAAGGGAATGAAACAAGGAAAAGAATCTTTCCTAAGCCAGGTGCACTCTTGGAACAGAATCAAAGCAGATGAAGACACCTTTGGTCCAGGAGGTCTCCCTTCTCCACCCAGGCCCACCTCTGGCTCAATCCACCATTTGTGTTTCTCAACAAACTCGCAGGAGTTGACAGGTCATTCAGTGTGGCCTCAGGGAAGCCCCACTCCCCAGTGCCTCAGAGGTGTCACCCAGGAGACCGGGCCAGCTCCATACTGGAGGTCACTTCCCCGCCATGGGCAATAGTCCTCTCATGCTATGTGGTAATTTAATTAACAATTAGGAAAAAAAATGACTTCTGCAAATAATATATGCAGTAGATATTTCTAAACAGAATAACTGGTTTTTTTTCTTTTCTTTTTTGCCCCAGAGGAGGGTAAGATTTATTCTAGATCTTACTAGAATAAACACGTTCAAGTAAGTAGAAAGAAATTGCCCTGATTTTAGTCTAACAAGTAAATAATTTTCTTCTAAGAAAAGTTTCTCATGCTTTTTTTTTAAAAAAAGCAGTTTTTAGGTCGTACGAGTTCTCTCTTCAAACATATGTTATTAAAAACAATAGCATGAGTAATTCTGAAACGCTCTGGGTAAAACAGGTAAAGAATTTAAATGGTTCAGGGGCAGTGCCCAGACAGCTATAAACGAGTCCTTCCTTGAACATTTCACTTTTTTAGAAAAAACAGGAAATGTGTCACATGTAGAAATGGCAGTGTTAACTTTTTCCCACAGTGCTCTCCTGAGTCGTTTTGGAAGTGGGGACATAACTTTCCCCTTCCTAGGTCACACAAACGTTTACTTCCAGAAAACAAATTTTAACTGAATGTAGTTCGAATCTCTTCAAATGCTCCTCTCCAGGCTGGAAGCCCACAGAGTAGAAAGACTTGTGTGAAGAAAAAAACATTTGAAGGAGGAAAACGTCAGAGCTGTGGAGTATGGGGTGCAAATGCGGACTCAAATACATCAGCATGTACAGGCTCTTCCGTAACTACAATGCATTTTGTTCTAAAAGTTTGTATACATTTTTTTCCCTAATTGGATGTATTTTTCCATATTTACATTGTTACTAATGGTGGTTGGTTCAGAGGCTGATGCTTCAGTGCCTGTTAAACAGCAGAATGTCACATCCACGGGGCGGGGGCTTGGCTGGCTCTGCTCATCACAGCACCCCCAGGATCCAGAACAGCCTACACTATGGTTGTTGTGTGGGGTCAAGTCCATTCTGACTCACAGTGACCCTAAAGGACAGAGCAGAACTGCCCCATAGGGTTTCCAAGGCTGCAATCTTTACAGGAGCAGATCGCCAGGTCTTTCTCCCACAGAGCAGCTGGTGGGCTCAAACTGCTGACCTTTTGGTTAGCAGCTGAGCACCTGATCATACTATAGCCGGTCCTCTGTAAACACTTGTTAAAGAATGAACAGGGACCTAGCATTGTCTCCACCTCTTCCGAAGCGTGGCTGCCTACACTTACACAGTCCCCTGCCTTGCTTCCCCCCGTTAATGTTTGCTCAGTACATCTGCTGTACAGCAAGCTAAGAGAGACAAAGCACCCGAGACGCCACATGGTACGGGACAGGTTCTCAGCAAACGTTCACCCCATTCCTCGTCCCCCTTTTCTGTCTCCCCTTTCGTGCAGGCAAGGTTCAGGCCCCTGAAGACCATGTCAGTGGGTCACACAGCAGGTGCTCAGTGAATATAAGCTGAATCAATAAAATCAGAGCTAATATTTAATAAACACTTATTAAGTGGGTGGCACTATACTAAGAATCGTCTCATTAAATCCTCCCGGCAACCTCTGAGGTGGGGAGTATTATTATCTCCATTTTACAGTTGAGGAAACTCAGCTTCCAGAAGTTAAGTAACTTGCCCAAGGTCACCAGGCCGAAGTGTTCACCCCAGGTCTGTCCAACCCCCTCTGGACCACTCTGCTGCAGAAGGAATGGAAATGTACCCAGAGGAAAGGCCCAAAGGACTACTTCAGCTGCTGGGATTAACTATTCATAACGCTGTTTAGGCGAGAGTGTCTTCCGAGCGCTAAGCCCCTAGCAGCGTGCTGGGTACAGGTTAGACATTTAATAAATGTTACCCAGTGAATAAGTGAGCAAACGAAAGCATGGGAGCCCAGAAACACACTGCCCTTCCTCTGAGGGCAGAGCCTCCAAGGGCCCGTGACGTGTGCGCTATCCACAGCCGTGGCCACTGGTGTGCTGATGCGGGGTCACAAGGAGAGCCGCTTGGGAGGGCCTTCCTTCGGATTTCCCTCAACTGGGGGCTGCGCGGATGCACACACACACAACGGTAGCATCCACGAGGAGAGACACACGTGAAGCAGGTTAAAGGCGAGTAACCAGACTAAGGCAGCGAGGTCACAAGGAAAGGGTCATGAAGTCATGCTGCAAGTGATCGTCAGCACGCGGCTTGCTCGGACACTGTGAGGACTGCAATCCCGTCTGTGCTAGGCTACCGCGCGCAGGCACGGGGGCCCCGTCTCTGACACGGTTATCAAGGTCACAACAGAGGCACGTGATTGACTTACGGCATCTGTAAGAGCCGGGAGACGGTAGGCATGCCATTTTTACAGGCTCCACAAGACAGCGTGGACTCCAACACGGCCACTTGAAATGAACAGATACACATTTTAGTTCCACAGAACAAGCTGGCAGATCCACTTGGTGACGAAAAGTTTGACATCGCTTTGCAACAACTGTCTACAGGCTGATTGGGACGGCGTCACAATTCTCCACACACAGACAGATGGCACACGTGGGGAGAGGGAACGCTGGCAACGCTGACGTTACCGATGATTCAAGATAGATGGTTCAGAAACCACGTGCTGATGGAAAGCTAAATACATTTCAAGAATAATTAGAGGGTGGATTCAAGATATCATTCATAAAAGTGTTTGCTCTCTTAAAAGAGAAATAAACACTACACAGAAGCAAGATTCTGAACCTGAGAGGCATCTTGATGCTTGCCTGCTTGTAATCAAAACCAGCACACACAATGCCAATTGTTGATATCTCATCACCCAACACCCTGCATGCCATAAACAAAAGCAGCCAGACTTTTCAACCCACAGGTCACTGTTCAGTCTCAGGCCTATTTCTCTTGAACCACCTCATCTGACACAAAACTAACATCTGATAAAGGGTTGACTCCCATATTCGAAGGCACCATGGTCCAACAGCCACCTTGCCCTCCCCTCTCTGCTCTAGCTGTAAGGTCTAACTGAGCCAGCTGTGGAGGGGATGGAAGGGTCCCTGGACGGGTCTACATCAGTTCCTACATCCCTCCTTCCTAAAGGTGCTTCCCACCTGTCCTCCGGCTCTCTCAGCCTCTCAGGTAACACTGACAGTGCTCTTGGATCCACTCTGCCTGGGGGTCTGCATTCCTGTCTGTCTTCCCTAGCACTGGGCCTGCTAGGTTCTTCTCTAGCTGGCTTCCGGTCCATGGCGCCCCATCCCTTGCAAGACCCACTGGTGCTCTGGCTTGACTCCTGATTTCTGCCTGAGTACTCAAGGCGGGCTTCAGGCGGCCTGCTCCTGGCTTTTGCTTCTGCACCCAGAACCTGTCAGTAAGACTCTCGCTGGCCATTCTTCCTCTTACCTCCTCCACTTCCAAACTTTTACAAAAACTTCCCTGAGGTGTCAGATAGCCCGACAAATGGAAAAGCTATCTTTTAAATTGGATAAGAATTTCTGGTGGTGGGGGATAGCAACACCTTCTGGTCTTTCCCAGTCTCTGGAAAAGGAGTGAGTAGCTCTGTAGACTAGCGTGGCCCACGTGGCGGCTCCAAACCCCATACTGACCCACAGCCATGGACGGCGCAGGCGGGAAGGAGTCTACAGGCACCGAGTCTGGCGGTCGTCCATAGGTCATTTCATACAGTAAGTGGCCAAAGCAGTGAACATCCACACTTTCCAACGTCTGTGGAAGAAAACAGAGCAGCAGCAAGGACATCCTTCAGTTTGGGGTTATGAGCCCCAGAGCTCCAGCCCCCAACTCCCACTGAGAGACAAGGCCCAAGGGCAACCACACTCCTGATGGATACAAAGCCTTCTGCAAAAGCTCACGAGGCATCGCTCTGACTAAAAGACTTGGTCCTGCTCTCCAGGGATTTCCCTACTCCCTACTCCCTGCCCTACCTGCCCTTTCAACTCAGCCTCTTGGAGATGCAACCAAGCTCTGTGGGACAAGCAGGTCAACAGGCCTGACCCACCCCCACTGGACCTTTCCCTGCTTTGCATTTTCCTACATGGGGGATCACAGGTCCTGCCATGGGGACAACCTGTCGCTGACAGCAAACTTACTGCCTCACTCCTTTCAGCACTTACGGTGATCTTCCTGAACTGTGAGAAGTAGGATCGGTAGAAGGAAGGCAGGCCCAACAAGGAATTCTCAAGGTCTAGCAGCCGGCAAGTGTCCCCATCTAGCATCACATTGGAGGCATGAAGATGCCCATAAGGGAATCCCTTGTCATGTAGAAACTTCAGTACCTAAACACCCAGAGACAAACAGAGAATACTAAGCCAGTCAGTTAAAAAATGTGTACAGGCTACACTCCCCACCCCTAAACCGTTCAGATATAACACAAGTTAAATTTTTTTTGTAAGTCAATATATTTTAAAACAAAAGCAAACAGGTCACTGGGGCGATCCCTGAAGAAAAATGCCACCTCCAACCATTTCTTTGGAATAAGGAGTGGCACTGAATGCTTTCCAGCTGGAGATGCAACACCAAGGCTCTCATTTCCTGAGAACAGAGAAGCAGCCACAGCCAGCTTGGGGTTAATAGCTCTGACACCAAAATGCTCTCCCTTAAGCACTTTCTGATCCCAACAGACCAAGTCTCTTCAGGGCAAAGTCTTGATACTCCTAAACAGATGAGCAAAGCTATAGTGTCACTGCTCCAGGCAGTTATTAAAGGAATGGGACGTAGTTGAAAATATCTCTAATCCAATCTCTCCTGAGGCCTGTTTAGTAACAGAAATACACAATAGGCTCCCACAAAAAAAGAAGCAAACTTCTCAGCTTCCATTTAAATAAGCAATGGCTCACCCAGCCATACCCATTAAACTCGGTGGCTGTTGAGTCGATTCTGACTCTTAGCGACCTTGTATAGGACAGAGCAGAACTGTCCCATACGGTTTCGTAATCTTTACAGAAGCGGACTGCCACATCTTTAGGTGGGTTCAAACCACTGACCTTTCGGTTAGCAGCCGAGCGCTTAGCTACTGTGCCACCAGGGCTCCTTCACCCATATAGACATGTCTATTTACAGCCCGGCAAAGACCTGGTGAGTCAGCACATGACAGTCAAAGGGGGTGCCCAGGAGAGTTCTCTGAGGACTAGAAGAAAATATCACAACCTCTCTCTAGCTTTTTTTTTTTAATCTCACTCTTTCTTAGCCTCAATTTACAAGGTACAAAAAGTACCAGTGGTAGTCCATGTAGATGATTTATAAACAGTTAAATACACCTAACATTAGAGGCATACGCTTAAGTTGTTTTTCAGTGACAGGGCTGCACAATCCAAGAAGCCCGGAGAATACTGAGCTGGGGTGATGTGGGCAAGAAAGCCTGTACACTGTTCACTGCTAGTTACCCGTCTGTAAGGGCGCCAGATGGTTATGGACATGACGTAACAGAAACAAGAACCTTGGCACAAAGATAAAGATCAACCAAGGATAACACAAAAATTAGTGCCCACACAGTAAAGCTCTTAAAAGCCAGACACTCAATTGCAAGAGCTAAAACGCTGTAATTTTGTAGATCTAAATCCCTGCCTCAGTCTCAAGTATTGCTTTTGGGGGATATAATATGGCAATACGATCAGTTTATAAGTAATTAGACAACTTAAACTATTTTGGATATTGTTTGAGAACTTTCCCTAAAGAATACCTTAACGCTGGGTCAAATTCTGGTGCAACTTAAAAAAAAAAAAAAAAAAAAACCTAAATATCTCTTACCTCTAATATTTGCCGCCCATATGTTTTTATTTGCTGGAGTTCAAGGCCCTGAATCTTCTTGGGGTTGCAGTACTTCTTTAGGAATGGGTCTTTTGGTTTTGCCTTTGGAAAAGAACAAACAGTACATTCAAAAGCAGCAGGGGGGCTGACCCCTGCACACAGGCTGCCTGGACAGGCAGGACTCTAGAGAGGCCGGGGGGTGCAAGAGATGGCCAGCCCGCAGGATGTGTCAACTACAACAGTCTGTGTAGTCGATAGAAAGATGACGGCCTGAGTTCTGTCCCTTCCCTGGACCAGTGAAGAGCTGCCTGCTCTGGGCTTTAGCAGATCGCAGAGTCTTGCTTACAATTAGAATTCTTCACTCCTGCTTTGCTAAGTGAAGGGCACATACAGAAACTGACCTGAAAGAGCAGCCTACAAGGTAATAGACTAGGTCACTAAATGTTCAATCTTCCCTCATGTGGGGAAAAAGAATGTTCTTTAACCAAAATGGGTAGTTTTTATTGCTAAAATCAAAATAAAGTCCAGACTCCTCAAAGCCTAGTTTCCAGAACCCTAGAGATCGAACATTAATAACGGGTTGCAAAGGGATTTGAGAACTTCATTATGACCATGAACTTGCACCATACGTACCTTATAGATCAGGTCCTTCAAAGTTCCTTTTTCATTAAACGTCCTAATTAGCAACGCTGAGGATTCATTAGCTGTGGCAAAGGTAACCCGATAGATGTAAGGGTGCTGCCAGAACAAAAAGGAAATTCACATTTATTTGTATCAGTATCTAGGTCCTTTTTTTTTTTTTAAAGGATGAGTTTTTATATATATATATAAAACTTTATTGTGCTTTAGGTGAAAGCTTACAGCAAAAGCTAGTTTCTCATTCAAAAATTTATACACAAATTATTTTGTGACATTGGTTGCAATCCCCACCGTGTGACAATATTCTGTTTCCACGCTGGGTTCCCCATGTCCGTTCATCTAGTTTTCCTGTCCCTTCCTGTCTTCTCTTCTTGCTTTTGGGCAGGACAAGTATGGTGGAAGAGAGGGAAAGGTGAGTTTTTGGAATAATGGTTTTAATATTCTTCCTCTATAAGCTGGTAAGTAACACAGCCCAATCTCAGACAGCCAAGTGGGGACGAGGATAACTGTGTCTTCACTCACAGCTCTGCCTAACATTCCACACTGCTGCTGAGTGCCAAGTCAGGGAGCATAACAGCCCAGAAACAAGCAGAAGCAGCATCTTGTGGCACCTCATCCCTTTCCAAAGCAGCGAGCATGAATCCTCCTGCCCTTCAACACAAGTCTGCAATGTGATGTCTCACGGTGTCCTCCCGAGAAGAGGACGCTGACGTCGCCCAAGCGAAGGTGGGGAAAAAGTCAAATTACTTAATGACTGAAACTCTTCATATGACCTGGAATTCTGGTTACATGAACTGACTTTAGACGGTATTACAATGTCCATTTACTCAAAGGGGTATCAAGAAAGCTTAAACTCATGGGAGCTGAGCTGCACAGAGATTTTGAACTGGTTCAGTCATGGCTGACAAAGCAAAACCAGAACAGGCTCGTATTGCTAAAATTTGGGTGATCCGGAACTATACTGGAATCGGAAAAATTAAGGGTCAAAGCCCTGGAATGGGAGACTCGGAGGAGGCGCAGTGAGCCCTTTCAGGAGCCTGATGCGTGAGACTGGATTATTGCCAGGACTGAGGAGCATGACACACACTCAAAGTGGCGTGGTCGGTCGCCACCTGTGAGCGGGTCACTGCTGTTTCCGACTCTGTAAAATCCGACAGGCAAGAGATCTGGTTGCTGTGCAACACATACGCTGCCCTTGTTTTCTAAGAGGCAGATTAAGTTTCTAGCAGGGCTTCAAGCCATAATTTTTCCCATTCCAGTTATGGTTCTGGTTCGCCCAAATTTTAAAAATTCAAGTCTGTTCTGGTGTCACTTCCTCAGCTATAACTGAACCGGGAAGAACTGATTTGAAGCCCTGGTCTTGGCAGAGGGGGTGAGGGGCCATGCCCAGAAAAAGATAGTAATTGATCACGAAGTTTCTCCTGATCATCACATCAAAATGGCTGCTGTTGATTTTTTAACAGCTTTACTGAGATAAAATTCACATGCCATTACAATTCACCTATTTAAAATATAAAATTCAATGGTTTTCAATATCTTCACAGAGTTGTGCAACCATCACACAATCTAATTTTAGAACATTTTCATCACCCCAAAAAGAAACCCAGTGGATAAAATAAAATTGTTGAGTCCATACAGATATTAAGTAATTAATTAATAATGAAAAGAGGAGAAGGAGACACTCTTCCTTACAGTACAATGCCAACTAACATAGAAGGAATGATGGAGATACAAAATCTCAATTAATGCTAAAACTAGTGGGTATGATGAGGAACAGGATATTTATATAGTATCAAAATATCTCCTCAAAAATTACTTATTAATTCTAGGTATTTATCTTAACAAAATAGTTAAGGATGGAGCCCTGGTGGCCCAAGGGTTAAGAGCTGGGCTGCTAACCAAAAAGGTTGGCAGTTTGAATCTCCCAGCCGCTCTTTGGAAACCCTATGGGGCAGCTCTATTCTATCCTATAGGGTTGCTATGAGTCAGAACTGACTCAGCAGCATACAACAACAACACAGATGTTTAGGTACAGACATTTACCTAAGATTGTTTGCTATGACTTTTTTTAAAAATAAGGGCAAAAAACTGGAAGTGATCCAAATGTCTAGTGGAAGATCAGTTGAGTAAACAGAGATATAGCCAAATGATAATTTTATGTAGCCAATAAAAATGACATTACAGTACATTTATGGACAATATGCTCAAGGTATGTCCTTAATGAAAAAAAATCTGGTTTAAAAAAATATATACAGAATAGTTAAAACAATGTTGAAAGAGAAGAACAAAATAGGAGGACTCACCCTTCCTAATTTTAAAACATACTATACAGCTATAGTAATCAAAAAAATCAAAAAAAGCCTGGTACTGGTATAACAACAGACACACAGACCAATGGAATAAAATTGAGAGTCCAGAAATAAACCCACACATCTACGGTCAACTGATTTTTGACAAGGGTGCTAAGTCCATTCGATGCAGAAAGAAAAGTCTCTGCAATAAATTGTGCTGGGAAAACTGGATTTCCACATGCAGAAAAATGAAACAGGATCCATGCTTTACACCATACACAAAAATAAATTTAAAATGGATTGAGGAACTAAATGTGCAAACTAAAACCATAAAATTCTTAGAAGAACAAGCAGGGGCAACGCTGTCAGGCCTAGCTTTCAATAATGGATTATCTAATATAATAACAAAAGCACAGACAGCAAAAGACAAAATAAATATATGGGCCCTCATAAAAACTAAAAACTTTTGTTCGTCAAAATACTTTACCAAAAAAGTGAAAAGACAAGCTACCAACTGGGATAATATCTTCAGAAACCATATATTTGACAAGAATCTAAAAACCAAAATATATCTAAAATTTCAACAACTGAACAACAAAAAGACAAATAACCCAGTCATAAAATAAGCAAAGGACTTGAATAGACATTTCACCAAAGAAGACATTCAAATGGCCACCAAACACAAGAAAAGATGCTCGGCATGATTAGCCATCAGAGAGATGCAAATTAAAACCACAATGACATATCATTTCACTCCCAGTAGGATGGCTAAGATTAAAAAAAACAGAAAATAACAAATATTGGCGAGGATGTGAGGAAATTGGAACTCTTATCCATTGCTGGTGGGAATGCAAAACGGTAGAGCCATTGTGGAAAACAGTGTGGCAGTTTCTCAAAAAACTAAAAATATAACAACCATATGAACCAACAATTCCACTCCTAGGTATATACCCAGAAGACTTGAAAGCAGAGACTCAAAAAGAGACTTGTACATCAATGTCCACTGTATCACTATTCATAATAGCCAAAAGGTGGAAACAACCTAAATGCCCATCAACAGATGAATGGATAAACAAAATGTGGTACATACATACAACAGAATACTACTCAGCCAGTAGAAGAAATGAAGTTTTGATACATGCTACAGCATGGATGGAGCTTAAAGACATTATGCTGAATGAAATAAGCCAATCACAAAAGGACAAATATTATATGACCTTAGTTACATAAAAAGACAGGAAAAGGCACAAAAAATGTACATAATATAATTTTTCAAAAAATATATATCATATAAAAATTCCAGAAAAGTTAACAACTGAATATTTTGGTTCATACTTCTGATTGGTGGGATTACAGATGAGTCTTCTTATATTTGCTTATCTATGTTTCTGACTTTTCTGCAATTAATGTGCACTATTTGTACGCACCACCTTTTTTTGGTAAAGCACATCCATTAAAAGAAATTTAAAATTGAGTGCTGACAGCTTGCTTCACACATCCAATCAAACTCAAAGACCACAGCATTTTTCTTGGCCACGTATCAAACCTCATTAGAAACTTGGTTTCACCAGCTTGACAACACACTCTATTTTCAAACAGGAACTTGCCAACCCAACTGGATGTGTCAGCATGATTGTGCTTGGTCCCTCGGTGACTCATTCCAGGGTCTCGCAGTCTCGTAAAGAACATCAACGCTAACTCAATTTCCTAGTCAGATTCGCTTTTTCCTCAAGACACTCTGCACATATTTTGAAACATATTCATGTGGTTTTTTTCCACTAAAGGGCTTGGATTAGAACTGAGAATTAGCATAAGTAATGCTAAACACTCCTAAAAGTCCACTGGCTTGTCTATGAGAGTGGTAGACAGCAAAACAGCTATTTCGCCTTTCCCTCACCCAGTTTATCTAACTCCTTATTTGTTCTGTTTTGTTGGGCTAGAAACAGATCTTTTGAGTCCACTGATATAAACAACCTCGCCAAGAACAAAAGGTCTGGAGAAATGGCTGTTTTCCTACCCTGATGTTTACTTCAAACGCAAAGGCTATGTTTAAATTGTCACTTATTTCATGAGTTGTTCGGGCGTCATAAACACCATGGTCTCTCATCTACGGGAAAAGCCCTTCGGGATTTCAGTCTGAGCTGAGATCCACTGTCCTGCTCCATTCTCCTGAGTCTAAGAGTATTTTCAGCTCTTCTAGCCACGCTCACCCACAAGAAAAGATTGTGAATCTATGATGACAATCATACCAGCACCGAAGTTACCAGAAGGACTTGTACTCACCAAGCAGGAAGGAAGTAGTTTGATTAGACACTGAAAATCTTTATCTGACAGGTACTTGTCGGGGCCAAGGTCAGCCTGAAAACATGGGAGGAAATATCAGAGTTTCGCCTTGGTCATCGAAAGAAAACTTCCCTCTAAGTCTTTCCCTTTAATTTTATTTGTTGAGATATATGACTGTAAACCAAAAATGAAAATCACACCTAAGTCTTGCTGCTGTAAGTCCTGTCTGGAGACGTAGTGTATAAACATATCAATACCAGGATTCAGCTGTAATTTTACCTAATTCCATTAACCAAACGTATCACTACAACTTCTATGTGAAAGACATAAAGTAGTGCTCAAGTATTTTCTTCAGAGACAAACTCCAAAAGTGTCAACCTTGAAGAGGTTCTAGAGGACTATATTAAGCTGTTTCCATTTTTTTCCCCAAATGTTTATTAGCTGGTCAAATTTAATTACATCAATATAGCCAAATGCTTAAGCAAAACCATTGACTACCTATTGCCATTGAGTTGATTCTGACTCATAGCAACCCTATAGGACAGACTAGAATTGTCCCAGAGGGGTTCTAAGGAGCAGTTGATGGATTTGAACTGCCAGTCTTTTGGTTAGCAGCCAGCAGCCGATCCATTAACTACTGTGCCAGCAGGGTTCCATGCTTAAGCAAAGTGACTAAAAATGATTCTTCTTTGATACAGAACTGAGGAGGCCCTTATAAAATCACTTGAGACGTGAGAGCACAATGCAGTACTGTACCTGTCTTGTCAAATTTGCTTTCAGAAACCAAGCTAAAGTCCCTAAAATGGGGCTCAAGCAATTAAAAAAAAAAAAAGCTTACCCAGCTTAACACTAGCCGTTCCTTTGGCTGATTTTTAATCTTCATCAAGAAATATTTCTTTCTTATCCTCCAACCTGCCATAAAAGCAGAGATGTGTTTATAGCTACATATTTTTTGCACCAATTGATATAAATTTTATTGACTAAGTAATTAATAAAAAAATAAGTTTGGCAATACTATCCACAGTTACACAGGCACCAGCAGAGCAATCACTCGATAAGGTTGGCACCACAAAGGCTGCACTAAAAACAGCATGAAGAAGAAACTGTTCTATTATGAAAATAGTATGAAAACAGCACTTCAATGTATCTTCTGTTTAGATTTAGTAAAAGAGATAGATGAGGAATGAATGATGGTTTTGAAAGTACAAGTTACTACTATCCAAAACCTCTGATGGGGCTTTAACCAAGATTCATTAAGTATTTCATAGAGTAGCTAAAATCTATTAGTGCCGAAAAACAAACCAAACCCATTGCCGTTGAGTTGATTTCAACTCATAGCGACCCTATAGGACAGAGTCGAACTGTCCCATAGGGTTTCCAAAGGGCAGCTGGTGGATCCGAACTGCCGATCTTCTAGTTAGCAGCTGAACACTTAACCACTGTGCCACCATCATTAAATAACAACAGTGCACACTGGGATGAAATTCAGAGGGGATCAAAGTTGCTATCAGGATGTGCTTTTTTGATGACAGCAGAAATCAACAGCTAAGAACTGCATCTTCAAGTGGTAGGGAGGCAAAAAGAAAAAGAAGTCATCTTCACTTATGGGTTTTCTTGGGACAC